CAGCTGCTTTATTCTTCTACCTAGTAGTCCCCAACTTAGTCTTGACAACTTTTTTAATAATATTATTTTCTCGACCATATTCTCAACAGCCGCACTAACTTCAGGAGCTTTAGACAACTTAATCAAATCAACCACATATTTCGGAATAGAAGTATAGACTATAGAGAATGGTGATTTCCCTGAATGCACATCACTATTGTAAGAAAATTTGACCTGAGACAAAACTAAATTTCACTGTTTCGGCTTGTCACCAAAAACACTTCAAATCATATTTTTCAAACAATCTCCAAAAAGTAATCCAAAAAATTTATTTGAGTCTAATGATTAAATACACCCTGCAATCTATCTTTGCGTGAGTCTAAATCGAAAAGTTCATTCTCTCATTTATGGAATAATCCATTCATTTCAATATGCGATGCCTTAAAGATAGGTTATTTCTTCATTGTTATGAAATGAATTCTGAAATATTTCTTCATTTCAATATTTTGGCTAATGAATAATAAATCTTTATTTTGTGTTGTGTGGATATATGTATTTTAAGTACCAATAAATTTAAAAATGTAAAGTGAAAATCGTATGATATTTCATGTGATCTGAGAGAAAAATCGAACTTTTATCGTATTCATTTGATTTACTTTAAATCATATATATTTCTAAAAATACAATTTTAATTTAAAGTAATGCTCTAGATTGAAATTCAAAATGTTACATTTGACATTTTTTAGGTCTTGCATCTTTAAAATTGTTATTAATTTTCTTTTTAGTTTGTCGTAGTCCGTTAAAAATATTTGTCTGATAAATTAATAGAATATAATTTAACTAAAATATTAGGCCTATTTGAAACACTGATTAACTATACATATTTTAAACAGGAGTGTATTATACTTCCTCTATTTTTTATTATAAATCATTATAAAAAAATATTTATAATTTTTTTTATTCATATAATTATTATTATTTTTCTTGAAAAGTTCAAAATAATTTATAATAAAAAATTGTTGTAGTACTTATTTGAAGTATCAATTTGCATTTGTGTGGACGTAAGACATATTTGAAGCACCAACTTGCATTTGTGTGGATCTTTAAGACACGTTTGTTTCGTTAAGGAAACTAAGATAGGAATTGTTTTATTCCCATGTTTAAGTTTAAAAAATAATAGAAGATGAATTTAAAAAGTGAAATAAATTAAATTGGTGTAATTAGATAACAAAATAATGGACTGTAAATTGTATTTCACAGAACAAGCATCACAAGGATCACACACAGAACAAGCATGAAAAGTCTACACATCATGACACTAGAATAATCTCAGGTATGCTTAACCAAGGTAATTCTATTCATCAAACCTCTGTATGGATATTGGACTCAGGCGCTTCACATCATGTATGTCCACATATAAAATGTTTCTCTAATATTTCTGATATTACACCTGTGCAAATCTATCTTCCTAATGGTAATTGTTTGACTGCTTATTACTTTGGCACAATCATTTTTTATAAGGACTTTCATTTGCATAATGTGATTTATCTACCTCAATTTCGATTTAGCTTGATTTCTATCTCCAAACTGTGTAAAGATTCCGACTACAACCTATCCTTCTCACAAAAATCCTACTTTATTCAGGGTGCGTCTACCAGACAGTTGATTGGCCAAGTGATTCCGCATAACAACTTGTATATTCTTCAAAAACACCCTGTGCACAATTTACCTTCTTTTAATACTTGTAACTCTGCTAGTACCAATATTTGTAATACTCCAGATAATAATAATTTTTCTTTATGGCATCATCGTTTGGGACATCCCTCGAATGAAGTGTTATATCACATGTCAAAACAATTTCCTGCTATTAAACATTGCAAAAATTTTGCTTGTAATACTTGTCATCTATCAAAGCAATGTAAACTTCCCTTTAATAATAGTAAATTTGCTTCCTTGAATTGTTTTGATTTGGTACATATGGATATATGGGATCCTATTCTACTACCTCTATGGATGGATTTCAGTATTTCTTAACCATTGTAGATGACTATTCCAGATACACTTGGACTTTTTTCATGGCCAACAAAACTGACACTAGATTACACATTAAGAATTTTATCACCTATTATCAAACCCAATTTTCATCCAAAATCAAAATTATAAGAAGTGACAATGGTGCTGAATGTCTTATGTCATCTTACTATGCTTTTCTTGGTATCATCCACCAAAGGAGTTGTGTTGAGACACCTCAACAAAACTCAACAGTTGAGAGAAAGCATAGGCACCTACTTAATGTAACTAGGTCTCTTTTGTTTCATGCCAATCTCCCAAAATGTTTATGGTCTTTTTCTTTGTGTCATGCCACTTTCTTAATCAATAGGATTTGCAATCCTACTATCAACAAACAAACACCTTATGAATTGCTATTCAAAACACCTCCCATCTATGATAAACATCAGAACTTTTGGATGTCTAGCTTATGCGTCTACCCTTACAAGGCACAAAGACAAACTTGACCCAAGAAGCACTAAATGCCTCATCTTAGGGTTCACCATAGGTATCGAAGGCTATCTTCTTTTCAACCTTAGCACCAGATCCCTGTTTAGCAGTAGAAATTGTCAATTTCATGAACACATCTCCCCCTATACCCCTCACCCTTCTACCCAACTTAATCCATCCCCTGCTTCTCCCACAGAAGACTCTATGCATCCTTTCCTCTTTGAACATATTACCATTCATGATTCACCTGACATCCATCCCACCCCTGCTAACAATACTTCACCACATACACACAATGACAATCTGATAATGATAATGCTGCAAATTCCCCTATTATAGATGAAGACTCTGATAATAATTATGATAATAATAACTTTGATAATAATGCTGAAAATTCTAATAATAATAACTATGATAATAATAATCTGGTCATTCTTTATTTGTTCAACAAGACCATAACTCCTTTACTTGCATTCTAATTTATGCTGATGATCTATTAATTGCAGGTAACAATCTGCAGCACATAGAGAACACAAAAGACATTCTTCACCAACATTTTCGCATAAAGGACTTGGGCACTTTGAAATACTTCTTAGGCTTAGAAGTAGCAAGGAATGCCCAATATACCAGCGCAAATATACCTTGGATCTGCTCAACAACACTGGTTTGCTAGGCTGCAAACCAGCCACGACACGAATGGCCCGTGACACTCGCCTTCAATCTAATGATGGACCTCCTATGCAAGATCCTACAAAATTTTGAAGGTTCATTGGTCAACTCATCTACCTGCTCAACACCAGACCAGATATATCTTACTCTGTCCAACAAACTGAGTCAGCACATGAGAAAGCCTACAGAAACTCATTACAATGTTACGTTTCGTGTGCTTTACTATCTCAAATCTTCACCTGGCCAAGGCCTCTTCTTCCCCAGCAACTCCACTCTGCAACTCAAAGTCTTCTCTGACTCGGATTGGGCAACATGTCCTGAAACTAGAAAGTCAATCACGGGATTCTGCATTTATCTTGGCGATTCCCTCATATCATGGAAGTCAAAAAAGCAACCTACGGTCTCCAGAAGTTCAACAGAAGCTGAATATAGATCAATGGCTTTTACCGTCTGCGAACTGCAATGGCTCACGACATACCCTTCAAGCAACCTGCTCTTCTATACTGCGACAACGCATCTGCAAGACACATAGCCATCAACTCCTCATTCTATGAAAGAATCAAACACATAGACCTTGATTGCCACATTGTGCGTGAGAAACTTCAACAACAACTCTTCCACCTTCTTCCCATCACGTTATCTCAACAACTTGCCGATGTTTTTACCAAACCATTAGATACTATACCTTTCCATTCCAATATAGTTAAGCTTGGTCTCCATTCAATTTACCTCCAAGCTTATGGAGGGGTATTAGATAACAATATAATGGACTGACTATTTGTTTTTAGTTTGTTGGACTTTACTTGTTTATATCTTTTGGCCCATTAGGTTATCTATATATTTGTAAGCCTTATCATATTTGGTTTCCATTAGTATAAATAATTGTTGTTTTATAAATATCAACAATCTATTTACATTTTGAAAAAAAATACAAACAAATGACACTGCCAAGACTTGAACCTTAAACCAACAGCCCCTAACTCAACTAACAATTGCCAATTGAGCTACCCCACTCACCCCTTTTAAGCCTTTGCTAGATAACATGATAAACAAGCTTCAAGTTGAAATCCAAAACTACACCAGTGTTGTCATTGGCAGATGGTGGTCCACGGCAGAGGCAAAGTCCCACCATACCAACCACTTTGCGGCGCCATTATAACGTGTTACGGTAGAGAACCCCACAATATCGACCAATATTTACCATCGCGGCATGTACAAAAACCTCCATGTATATCATATCGGCAAATATTTGATAACGCTGAACTACATAATATTAAAATCATGCTGGATTCTTAGCTACTAGATGCTATTTTAATTTGAAAAATAATAGTTATCCCTCTTTTTAACCAGAGGGGGTGCACGATTAACAAAAGAAGCTTCCAAATTAGCACGAATCATATGCATGACTTTAACGAGAAAGAAGAAAGGTAATGTGTTAGAAAAAAACACACCACTGTAGAGAATATGCATGATTAACAAAAGAAGCTTCCAAATTAGCACGAATCATATGCATGACTTTAACGAGAAAGAAGAAAGGTAATGTGTTAGAAAAAAACACACCACTGTAGAGTATATTGTATCAACATGAAGTTTCTTTTTGGTGTCATGACATCAAACACCGTCAGTCATGGTGGTCATCACTCACCATCAGTATCACACAGTTTTAAAGATGAACTTGGAAAATATGCACATAAAATCCAAACATCACAGCAACACTCTTAAGTACACAACAAGACATGGTAAAATTGACAATACTACAAACATTTTCCCTTTGACATGCTAAATTGCTAGGCAGAAATGTGACCTGTATTGTTGCTAATAGCTTTCCTTTACGGCATGTTGCCAGATGATCACTAAAGGGGTGGTTCTTCTTCAACTTCACCATCTACACAAAATTTAAGATCCATTAAATTTATGTCCCTAAATAACCAAACCTGTAGAAAACTGACAAGTTTTGAAGTCTAACCTTGTAGAGAAATGGCTTGAACTGCTTCTGCATCAACAGTGCTGCTTAAGTTCTTTAAACATTAAAAATAAATGCAACTTGTTAACTGAGGCAAAAACATAAGGAGTTGCAATGTGGAATCAAATAGATATCAATTTAGTCAGTAAATATTCATATAATTAGGAGCCTATAATATTACTGGTGCAACTCATCTCGAACAAGTTCTAGTCAGGATCAAATTATACAAACACATTGGAAATAACTTTATTTCAAAGACTAATATGCAAATTAAAAAATCAAAGCAAAAAAATATGATTAAACTAATTCTCAAATAGTAGTAATTCACAAAGCAATACTCTATCGAAACTTGGAGACTTAGACATTATTTTGAACCAAATTAGTGGAGTAAATAAATACCTCATCAATGTGATTGATGGAAAATGATTCAAAGCTATTACGTAGCAACAAAGCCTCATCACATAAAATCCATAGTTCCGGCTCGTGGATTTCCCAAATACCTTGAAACTATATATTGTTTAGAAAAGAAAAATGAATAAAAAGAGAAAAGTAGAAGTGGATAAATCTTAACAATATCTAAACATTGTTTTCAATTATCTAAACTACATAGGAAGAATATGAACCAAATTGGATTATTTTTCCATGCTATCAACATACAAATGCCATTTTAAATTTAAGTAGAAAACATATCTCTCTGTCATGCTATATAATAATGGATACTATATACTAGAGCAAACCTGATTGATAACAAGTTCAGAGTTTCCTTGGACAATGATCTTCGTATATCCTTTCCTTATCGCTTCCGCGAGTCCTAAGATTAATCCACGATAGTCAGCAACATTAATTGTTTGATTTCCCAACCCTTGGCGAAATCGGTGCATCTACGGACAAATGAAAACATGAGAGTAAGCCACATCTTGTAATCAAATATCATATAATACAAATGTAATATTGAATAGAATTTGATACCACAACTGCATGTTCGTCTCTGTCCTCAACATCTTTTACAAGTATCAAAGCTGCTGCACCAGCTGGTCCATAAAATTCATCTTCAGTTGATGATGATGCACCAGAATCTGCAGTTGATGCACCAGAATCTGAAGTTGATGTTGATGCCCCATCATCTCCAGAAAATCCATGTCCAGTTGATGTTGATGCCCCATAATCTCCAAAAAATCCATGTCCAGTTGATGTCAATGCACCAGAATCTGCAGTTGGTGTTGATGCCCCATCATCTCCAGAAAATCCATGTCCAGTTGATGTCAATGCACCATCATCTCCAGAAAATCCATGTCCAGTTGATGTTGATACCCCATAATCTCCAGAAAATCCATGTCCAGTTGATGTCAATGCACCATCATCTCCAGAAAATCCATGTCCAGTTGATGTCAATGAACCATCATCTCCAGAAAATCCATGTCCAGTTGATGTCAATGCACCATCATCTCCAGAAAGTCCATGTGCAGTGAATGTTGATGCACCAGAATCTTTGCTTGATGTTGATGTAACAGAACCTTCACTTGTTGCACCACCGAATTGAACGATATGAATAAGCTGAAAATAGGATACAAAACTTTAAAGTTAACATACAAGTGTCAAAAGTTTATACAAGATTTCAATTAGCCATGATTTCTGTGTTGCCAAAACTATTCAAGAAATGTTTTCTAAATCACAGTATTGAGCTATGTTAAAACACAATTACAAAATAGATAAACTGCAATTGGTATAAACATGTTCTGTTTTTCTAACCTAACCTAGAATCAATTTTACTAAAACCTATGAATTATACATTTGTTCAATTGCATTGAAAATTACTATAGATGATAGCACAAACTACAACTTTGTTAGATTAATCAAAATCAAAAGCTACTCTAGCAGTGTGTGTTCAATCAAGGAAAGTTAATCAACATGCTAAAAACGTATGAACATGCTAAGATCGTATAAACATTTGTTCCATTTTCAAAGAATGAACATGCTAAGATCGTATGAACATTTGTTCCATTTTCGAAGAATGAAGAACAGAAGAAAAATAGGAACATGGAGAAGACGAATCAGTAACCTGCAATGGACGACGAGCCTTTTGGTATGGACTGTACATGATTTCTCTCTCTGCTTTTCAACTCCAATTCTTGCTCTAGGGAAGAATAAGAAGAAGAAAAAGAAGAAGAATAGTGGTGTGTTATCTCAAACTATAACAGAATTTCAAAAACGGTTACGAACCTTCTAGAATAAAATATTTTCTTGTAACAATGCCTTTAAAAAAAAAATGAAAAAGTAACAATATTAAATTGCTTAAAAGAGTATTTTACCGTCGATTCAAAGTTCTCATTAATCAATTTATATATTGTACATTTCTTCCATTAAAAAAAAATTTCTTATACATTTCAGGCCGGTCATTTCACTTTTTATGACACGCGTAATTTCATGGTTTCATGATTTTCTTTTTTTATTGATGTGCTCTATACTTCGTATAATTTTAAACTATTATTTCAAACATATAGCCCAATTATTTGTAAACTTACAATGACTTCTCGAATATTTAGTTCATTCTCGAAAAAATTCGATACATTCAGCATGCTTTTCTTTTGCACTTAAGATGGATGATTCTTTTACAAATATTACTCGGTTCTTCCCGCATTGACTATGTATGATTTACTTGTATATTTTCTTTTATCTTGAGAAAATTTTAATCAACTCTTGGTATCACGAGCATAATTTATTTAATTGACAAATATTTCATCTCGGATCAATATGTTGTCATGGGCATAATCTATTGAGAGATAGTATGGCATTATTATTGTTATTGTTCGTTACAATAAATGGATTTAAAGAGAGGAAAGATAAATTGAGTATGGATTGTGCGAGAAGTGGAAACTACAACAACTATAATTCCTCTCAAAGCATTTTTAGTAGGAAATTTAAATGTCCAATTATGTTGAGATACATGACAAACGGTAGTGGTTGGAAGGTAACAGTTATATCTGAGATTGACAATCATGAACTAGTTAAGAATTTAGTGGATCCTGATATATTAGGCCATTTAAAACCTCATGAAAGACAGTCTGTGAATCAAATGACAAAATACAAATTGTCTACATTTGTTTAGGAGGTGCGTTTAGGAAAAATTTCTTGTTTAAAAATGTGTTAAAAGTCATCTTTCTCCTGAGACAATTAATCCTTGAACAGGGAGTTGAGCTCTACTCTTGTTAAGCTCATTATCCAGATCCTTTGAACACTTTTATGATGTCCTTCTTTACAGTAAGAAAGAAATTATTGCTTTGGATGAAGTTCAAACAACCATGAGATCAAAAGAGTTATCAAAGTTAAAATTTTTGAAGGTTGACGATAAAGGTGAAGGATTAAGTGTGTTAAGAGGAATGAGTGAGAGTAGACGAAACCATAAAGGGAAGAGATCCAAGTTTAAGTCCAAGTTAAAAAAAATTATACGTCAAAGTTTAAATATTTCATTTACACAAAATTGGTCACTTTAAGAAGGATTGTCCTAAAAAAGGAAACAATGGTAATTTTATTTTGATTATGATTTCCTCAGACAAATATGGTTATGAAAGTGTTGGCTCACTAGATGTAACAATTTATGAAATAGATAAAAGTTGGTTTATGGAATCAAGTTGCTCTTATTACATGTGTCCAAGGAAAGAATATTTTGAAACTTTTGAGCTTAAAGAAGGTGGAGTCAATCGACTAGGAAGTAATAAGACTGACAAAATTCATTGTATTGGTATAGTGAGACTGAAAAATGTTTGATGGTTGTGAGTTATTTCTATGCAATGTGAAGTATGTTCCCGAGCTTAAGAGAAATTTGTTATCCATAAGTATGTTTGATGATCTAAGCTACAAATGCAGAGTTTTGAAAATTTCGCAAAGGAAAATGATAATTGCTAAAGGTTCCAAAATGCTTGGGTTGTATATTTTAGATGGATCAACTGTAATTGGTCATACATCAGTAGCTAGTCAAGACCCTCTTAATAAATCTAAGTTATGCCATTTGAGAGTCGGGCATGTTAGTGAAAGATGTATAGTTGAACTTGCTAAACAAGGTTTAATATAGAGTGAGAAATTAAATCAACAAGAATTTTGTGATAACTGCATTTTAGACAAACAACACAAGGTGGAGTTTGAGAGTGGTATGAATAATTTTAGTAGACCGTTTAGGTCTGTTCACTCAGAGCTATGGGGTCTGACAAGGATGCAAACTCATGGGGCGGATTCTATTTCCTCTCTACTATTGATGATTATTATAGAAGATTATGGGTTGATACAATTCTAACAAGTGTATTAGAACTTGTCGCAAGTAATAAAATAATTTGCCTCCACTAGATTGTTACATTTTAACAATGTAATAGTAGGTGTATTCAAAGTATGAAATTCGAGGTTCACAATGATTTTGAGAAAATAGGAAAAATAGCAAAGAATTGGAAGTTTATTAGATTAAAAGCGACCAGGTCTTATTTTGAATTCCTTGTGTATCACTTTTGATAGAGGTGTCTATTTTCCTAAATTGATTTATGAGAAATGATGACAATTTAACAAGACCGTTATACCAAATTTCATGGTGTATAAATCACTATTTTATATGACAACTCCATAATCTCTAAGACTAATTCGAAGTTAAAACATGCAAATTCAGTATGTCAAAGCTTAAATCATAATTTATAATTATTTTTTTTAAATCAATTACTAAATTGAACAATTAATTTAGTTTAAGTTCACAAAAATAGGGTCAATAATCCCTACAAACTTAGGTTCGATCTATGAGTATGTCAATGCTAAAAGATCTTTGTGCAACAGGACAAGACCTAATCTAGAAGAAATTTAGCTACTCATTATATATTTAATCATAGAGATGTGGTTATGCAATTTATAAATAAATATAATTCTAAAAGCTATGATTAAACATAAATCAAATTTTGAGTAATAAGACCAGAAAAAGAGTATGATTTGAATCATGTACAAAAGTGTGATTTGAATCATCAGCTCCAGAAACTTTTGGAAGATTAGAAAACATGTTTGATTCGGATCATGTATAAGATTTGATTCAAATCAGAAGGTTCTCAAAATCTTTTGGAAGTTTCTGTTTGATTTGATTCAAATTAAATCTCATGTGTAAATGAATGATTCGAACCAAGGACTTCAAAAACCTGATTTTTCGTGTTTTAAAGTTTTTCTTTGCACGTGATTTGAAAAGAAAACACTGTGCTTTTATTCCATAAACTCATACACATGTGTTGTACCCCAAAATTTGCCCATATTCTTCAAGATCATGCTTCAAAAATCTCTCAAGGGTTGCATGGCCTCCTAACAGTCAAAAATTAGGGTTTTGGTTCTGGCAAAGAAATTGAAGTGTCCAAGGGTCCAAACAAGTCCCACAGACCTACATACATTGTCAAGCATCCATATACCAAGTTTCAAGACTCACAACATCAAATGGCACAGTCAAAAACCCTAAATGCTTCACAGTCAACTGCAGGGGCAAAATGGTCATTTGACAGTCAAAAGTCCAAATTTTTGGTCAACATCTTATTTTGAAGCCACAAACATCATTTGATCAATTCTTGATCATGATTCTCAAAGCATGGCTCAAAAAGTCTCAAGATGCAAAAGTTTCTATTTTTGGACAGCTGAAAAAGTCAACTACAAATTGACCAGAGCATAACTTCCACATGGTTTATCATAAAAATTCCATCCAAAGCTCATTTTGAAGAGGATGACATTTCCTACAACTCATCTTCACACTTCAAGTCCAAGAAATGCTCTCACAAAAAGTTATCAATTTCAACATTATAGGTCATTTTCAAAAGTCAACAAAAAGGCACTTTAAGTCAAAGACCATAAATTGAGATTGGTAAATCAAAATGACATGGGACAAAATACATTGGTTATAGGACTTCAAGACCTTTCCAAAATGTCCAAGAACATGATCAAAGCTTAAAAATTGAGCAAGATATGTCTTGTGGAAGTTGGGAAATTTTTGGGAATTTTGAAAGGTCAACTTTGCTTCAAATGCCTCAAAATTGCTAATGGGCCTCAATTTCTTCCATGAATCGTCACCCAAAGGCCATGCACGACTCATTGACTTTAAAGGGAGTTATTTTCTTATTTTTAATTAATTATTTGAATTTTTAAGCTTATTAATTCATTTAATTGAAATTAAATATGAAAAAATATCAAATGCCACCTTTCAAATCTTTTTATGCAGCATATTCACTCTTTATGAGCTCAAGATTTCGTGCACATTCTAAAAGGAAAGAATCTCCCATGATTGGCAATGATTGGTATGGAAAAGTTTGAAAAAAGATCATGGAAGATCAAATATTCAAAATCATCAATGCAAAGGCTTTGGGCTTGGTCTTTCTGACCTAATCCCTTCCATATATATGCACAATCAAAAACCTAATGAAAAGAACACAGAAGCTGCGCTCAGAACAAAGAACAAACTTGCACTTTTTCACACAAAAATTGAAAACTGTTTTCATAGATACAAGGTGTTTCAAGGCCTCAAAGCTATTCCAAAAGCTTGCTGACACCACCAGGAAGGGATTCCAATCAAAACCACGCCTCCATACTCAAGGAATTGGTAGAATGAAGCCCCCCTGTTCATAAATATTTTCATATTCGTGTTTGAATTTGCATACATTTTTCATACGTTTTAAGCATTGATTTATACTAACAAGAGTGTTCTGAAGCTATAGGCATTCTTTGATTGAATTATTAAGCCCTGTACACGAATCCACCATGAAAGCTGCTTAGGGTTTCAGAGCTCCAATTTTGGGGTTTCATTCATCTGGAAAAATTGGACCATAAAACCAGTACCATTGGAATCAGGGCACCAGGACGAATTGAACTCACATATCGCGCCCAATTTCTATGGCTCTATGTGCTAATCGCTATTATTTGGCATTTGTTTTTGTGGGGGTTTAAAACCCCCGCTAACTGATTATGTTACAGGTAAAACGATGAAGATGATGCTTGCGTGTCTGGACAGGACTGGGCAATTTGAATGTTCGCGCGTGATTTTTGTTTTTATACCAATAGCATTCGTTTTCACATATAATGAACATGTTCCATATTAATATCAAG